TGGCTGTGGCCTCTAATCAAATACGTGCAGCGCAACGATGAAAAAATCCAGAAAGAAATCGACGGTTTCGAGGAATACTGTGGTGTTAGAATGGATAAACTGCCGGTGACAAAGTGGAGGGGAGTAGCGCTGCTTCCTCCTAATGGTCTGCAGAATGATGTTAGTGCTCCGTACTCTCCTTCCAAATCGGAACTCCCAGCGAGACTAACGGATGTGAAGAAGAATGGCGCGTTGTTCGAGCGTCCTCAGGAGCATATGCCCCAACCGATGTCAGATGTTCAGCCTACCTCTGCACCTGTTCAGTCTTCATCTTCTGTAGGAGTCGTTGGGCCGAATTCTTCCACGGACAGGACTCAACTGCCATTGTTGCAGACGCAGACTTCGCTCCCTTCGCTTAAATCAAGTGGATTACTTGATTGGTCAAGTCGGACGCTTCCAGGACCTATTAGGACACGCCCCAATGCATCATGGACTTCCCAATGCGTATACCGCTGGAAGCGGGTCTCCGGTAACAACTCCCACTACTACGTCCATAGCTATGTTACCAAAGGCAGCTAGCGTGTCAACGGAGAAATCTCCGGCTTCTCCCACAACTGGAAATCCGAGTGGCCCTGGGCAAGGGAGGTCAGGTTTGAGCTGGATGATGAACGAGTGAGACAGTAATTATGGATGAAGGTTAGATTTATTCTATGGACTCATTATTTAATGTCCTTCCCTTGAACTGCTGTCCGTTCTGTTGCATCTTGACTTGAAAAATGTTGTTATTGTCATCCCTGTTTTCGATTTGCAACCTTTAGGACTTTGTTATGGACATTACTGTACGTGTATCGATAGATATTAACCTACTAAGAACCTACCAGGTAATCAATATGAAGTGGAATTTTAATTAGTTCGCAAGTACTACTGTAGCCGGCCCCAGGTAAAGAGTAACGGCGCGTCCAAAAATGATACTTACGCAGTTACTCTTGAATTGTGGTCCATGGCCATCGTCTTTCGATCTTTGAACTCGCTGCTTTGTCATAGTTATTTTCAACTCTTTCACAAAGTATGAAAATAATTGGAAAATAATAATAAACTTTGGCGTGAATTATCTCTTATCGATATGGCCTGATTCGACTCAAAGGTTTTTATTTTACTAAACGAATCATGCTTCCTGTCTCGTTTCACCCTGTTCTACCGAACAAGGTATAAAACCAAGACACGCGGCTTTCTTCTTGTCCCCCACTATCGTCGACTCTTTCTCAACCAATTAGCCCCTTGAAAATGGCCACCACGGATAAAGCTGCGCGACGAGCCAAGTTTGAAGGCGCCTGGAACGTCATTCGCGATGAGCTCTTGGCCCATTTCAAGGCTTGTGGGATGCCAGCGGAGGCGCAAGAGTGGTATGCCAAGGTATGCAGCCAAAAGATCTTACCATCTGACCATATCTGTATGATCAGAACTACTTTCTTCTTGTCCTTTCTAGAACTTGGAGTACAATGTTCCTGGAGGAAAGCTTAATCGTGGAATGTCGGTGGTGGATACCGCCGAAATTCTAAAGGGCCGCGCATTGACTGACGAGGAACACCTTCAAGCTTCTGTACTAGGCTGGGGCGTTGAGCTCGTATGTCTTCAAAGGCCTTTTTATTGTTCTTTTGTTTAATGTATTTAGCTTCAAGCCTTCTTTCTCGTCTCTGACGACCTCATGGACTCTTCCATAACTCGCAGAGGTCAGCCTTGCTGGTACCGTGTTCCGAAAGTCGGACATATTGCCGTCAACGACGCGTTTATGCTCGAAGGCGCGATCTACCATCTCCTCAAAATCCATTTCAAGAAAGAGCCATACTATATCGATCTGATTGACCTATTCCACGAAACAACATACCAGACCGAAATGGGGCAGTTGATTGACTTGATCACCGCACCAGAGGACGATGTCGATCTGAACAAGTTTTCGTTAAAGAAGTAGGCATATCTTTCCATGTACCTTTTAAAAACTGACCATTCTTTTCGCGCAGGCATTCATTGATCGTGATCTACAAAACTGCTTTCTACTCCTTCTACCTCCCTGTTGCACTTGCGATGCTCTTTTGCCGTATACCCACCTCCTATATCCTTCCCAGCTCTCCCACTCCTGTGGCTCCGTACGACGTGGCGAAGGAGATCCTCATTCCTCTCGGCGAGTACTTTCAGATTCAGGACGACTTTCTCGACTTTTCAGGCGTTCCAGCCCAAATTGGCAAAGTCGGTACTGATATTGTCGACAACAAGTGTTCATGGTGCATCAACACTGCTTTGGCCATTGCTACGCCAGAGCAAAGGAAGATTTTGGACGAAAACTATGGCGTTAAACCGACTCCCGCGGAGAAGGAAATTGCCAAGAGGATGGCAGAGGTAAACAAGGGAGAGGAACAGGGATACCTCGGAGAGGCAGAGAAGCGCGTCAAAGCTGTATTCGAGGAAATGGGACTCCGAAAAATATACGCCGACTACGAAGAAAATGTATGCAAGAAGTTGTCAGAGATGGTGGATAAGATCGACGAAGGTGCACCTGGGCAGGAAGGTGTCTTGAAGAGGGAGGTTTTCAGAAGTTTCATGTCCAAAATCTATCGCAGGCAGAAGTAGACTGTGATTCACGTCCCGTGCTTTGTTTTCTTGGTACCTAATGAACAAGGAAAATTAAATGTACTAACTTTTACATAGAGCTCTGACTGTAATAAACCTCGTTTTTTTGGAACGCGTTTTGGGCGCGCCCACCGGCGACAGCGGGAATACTTCCGGTTGTGATTGTTACATCTGTTCAACATTCAACCCTGACACAAACCTCCGACGATGCTGTACATTGCACAAAGTTGAAGATTTCTCTACAACAGGATGGATGTCTAAGTTCTTGTCTTTAGTTCATTAAGCTCAAGAGCGCCAGCCTTTCTTCACTATTTTTTGCAAGATGGTATTCCGACTTTCTAGGCATTTGAAAATTCCCGTCCCCGAGATTCGGTATGTGCTGGCGTTTCAAATTCTAATAGGTCCATCAGACCCTTACAGCATCGCCCCAGCTATATAAGAGGGCTTAGTCGAAGCCTTTTTTCTTTAGTCTTGCGCTCACCTTCGCTTTTCTCAACTTTTTCCACCAGGCTGGTCCAGGGTGCTCATCCATACATAATATATTCAACATGTCTTCCCGTAAATCTTCTTCCAAGCCTCTTCCCAAGTTCGACATCGGTATGTATTTATTTGACCTTTCACCGCCGTTCTCTGTGCTCATACTTTTCTTGTAGGTGAGGACTACCAACTGCTCTATGCTCTCGGCCAGGGAGCGTACGGAACCGTCGCAGCTGGTATCTACAAACCTACCGGTCGTCAAGTCGCTATCAAGAGGATTCTTCCTTTCGACCATACTTTATGCTGTTTACGAACCTTACGAGAACTTAAATTGTTGAAATTCTTTTCGGAATCTTGTGTTAATGAGAACGTAGGTCATTTTCACTGCTCCTTCCAGCACACCCTCCTTAATTTTTAATGCCAGATTATTACGGTTTTGGATATTGTGAAGCCCGCGTCCTTGGAATCGTTCAAAGAGATCTACTGTGTGTATTGTTTCTGCGCTATCCTTGCTTTTTGCTCATGGGTCGCGCGCTACAGTCGTCCAGGAACTCATGCAGACCGATTTGCACAGAGTTATCCAGGACCCAGCACCTTACGGACGATCATTGCCAGGTAAGCTAACCGCCGGGTCCTCCATTCTTCCAGTATTCTAATGGTTCTTCGCTCCCTAGTATTTTATCTACCAGACTCTTCGCGCCCTCAAGACCATTCACAGTGCAGACATCGTCCACCGAGACTTGAAGCCTGCCAACCTGCTTTTAAACGCCAACTGTGACCTGAAGATTTGCGATTTCGGACTCGCCAGGAGCATCAAGACTACAGCTCCCACTGCCAAGGGCCAAGGCGGCTATGACCGAGTACGTTGCAACAAGATGGTATCGAGCCCCGGAAATCATGCTGTCGTTTAAAATGTACACCAAGGTGTGTAAAATGTTCGCTTTCCTCCCTCTTAAAATGCTGAGCTAACTTGTAACAGGCCGTTGATTTGTGGGCTGTTGGTTGCATTCTTGCAGAACTTATCTCCGGGCGCCCGCTGTTCCCTGGGCGCGATTACAGTCATCAGCTCGACCTTGTGCTAGATGTCATCGGCACCCCTACCCTTGATGAATTTTATGCGATCACCTCACGGAGGTCGCGTGAATATATCCGGTCTTTGCCTATTCGTCGCAAGAGGAGCTTTGCCTCGCTGTTCCCGCATGCCTCTGCGGATGCGATAGACTTTTTGCAGAAGACGCTCACCTTCGACCCGAAGAAGCGTATGACTGTTGAGGAAGCTCTTGAACATCCTTATGTCGCGGCCTACCATGATGCAGATGATGAGCCTGCTGCGGAGTCCGTCAGCCCTGAGTACTTCCAGTTTGATCGTCAGTCTATTCCAGCCTTCCTTTATTACTTCTATTACTAATGTCGTCTATCTTTAGTCGACAAAGAACAACTGTCGAAAGACGATCTCAAGAAGTTGCTCTACGACGAGGTCATGTCCTTCCAGCCCATCATCAACAACCCCACTGCTTGATTTATCCACCGCACCTACTCATTTTTATCACTATCTATTCGGACTGGTTCCGTTCAAGATTTTCAACAAGTAACGACAGTTCACGAAGGTTCATAGACGTTCCCAGCATTTTTAGCTATCTTTACGACCTTGGTTTTCCGTTCCAGAGATACGTTCATGTATCTATTTCAGTGGGATATAGGTCGAACTTGGTAGATGTCGCGTAGGAGGTTTACATTCTACGATATGCAGGATAATATATTATGTTTGCTTATCCTATTGCGAGCCTGAGTGAGTCAGTTTCCCAGCCATGGAGCTATATTATACGCAGGGTAAAACCCAGTGAAAACGCATGTTGCTCACAGATTCGGTACAGGCTCAGTGAGCTCGTGAGCTATTAAAACTATCATACATTAGCATCGCTTCCTTAGCTCAGTCGGTAGAGCGCCAGTCTCATAACTGGCATGAGGACCGTTTGGTTCGCAATCTGGAGGTCGCAAGTTCGAGCCTTGCAGGGAGCAATTCAGGTTTCAGTGCTGTTGTTTTTGCTGTGCAGCGTGTATGTTCTTGGAATTAATGCGCGTCTCCACTATCTTATACATCGACTCCAGCATTAGCGCGGACGTTGTATATCAGAATGTCATTGCGTAAAATGTCATAAAATAGTCCATTACACTTGCGCCAATGGCTCGTATTCATAAGAACTGGATCTCCCCATCCGCATTGAAAACACTCTCCGCCAGAACCGCCTTCCCGCCTTTCCTATTGCTCGGTTCGAGCTCCGCTCTCTCACCACGTTCCCGCTCATCAACCAGTCTCTCTTCCCTAGCCAACTTGAAACCTCCCTCTGGAATATCATAACATGTCTCCCATCGCACACCCACTTCTTTGCCCATTCCCCAAAAGTCCATACAATTCAGATAAGGACCAAGGTCAAAGGGATTCTGTGGAGCTGCAGAAGCCAATCCCCGTGCTGCACCACCGCGGGCAGGTGAAACGGTCAAGACCGGTGATACGTAGGAGAAGGAGGCACCGGGGCAGGAAGCACAGACTGAGCAGATTTTGAAGGGGAGTGCGAGGAGTCCCACCTGAGCCTCGGAGACTCTGTGGATGAGTGTGACTGTGAGGGGTAGAATGGAGACCTTGCGTGGCTAATGACTCTGAAGCAGAAAGTGGGGGAGATGTTTCACCATTGCCGTGGCTATGTGAATGTGAGGCCTGCTGCTGTGCGCCCATTTGGCCCACTCCGACGACGCCGCGGCCGCCCATGAATCCGTAGCGACCGAGGTTGCTGACTTCGAGGGAGGTCATCTGGCGAGATACTTGCCACAATTGGGCAGCGAGAAGAATGGTGGTCCAGGTTAGCTGAAGAGCGCCCCAAAGAGCGGTGGTAGCGAGGAAGATGTTAGTTTTGGATCCAAGAAGACGACAAAGAGGATCTGGGAGAGGGCAGGTAAGGGAGGATTCCATCTCTGGTACGGTGGTAAAATCTACAAGAAATGAGTCGAAGCTGGCCAGATAAAGATGGCAACTTACACTGGAATGTAAGATAGATAAAGGTGATTATACCGATGACGAGGTTGATCAGGAAAAGGAGGAATTGACGGTGGTTGTTCGCGCCAACTGCAAGAAGAAATTGAGAATCGGACTTGAGAACCCTCAAATGAATAGAAACTGACCACAGTTCCATATCCAAGGACAATGGTGGTCATGTCTTGCCGTACACCTATTGCATATGCGACAGTGCTTGGAGCGAAGCGGTTTACGGGCCTGAAGCGAACCAATCGGTTAAGGAAATACAAGACTGCTGAACTTACTCACCATACAGCTGACACAGAACGTTTGCCCATTCAACCTTCCTTCGCTGGCAAGGATTTCGACAGAATCCAAGAGGTGATTGGGAACAAACCCCGGATCCAAGCAGACGGCACGCCAAAAGTTGTAAAGGCAAAGAGAGGCGGATACAATGAAGATAACGTGAGCGGTAGGATGCTCGTGCACGTTGGTGAGAGTTGTAGCCCAACACCAGACGACCATCAGAATGGATGCGAAGATGATACCAGCGAAGAAGGGGCTCTCAGCTTGGGGTTTTCGCCCGAGAAGAACGCGAGTGAGGATATGGCCCGCCGCAAAACATTCTGCGGCAGCGAGAACCAACGAAGTATACCAAGGCAGCCAAGAAACGGCGATGGTATTAAATACGAGAGCGAGAAGAGGCATTGGAAGGACGAATATGGCGATCGAAGTGTATTTAGGATTACTGAATACAGGTGTTCTAGGAACGCCATACTCGTCCCATCCACCTTCTTCCATAGCGCGCCTCCATGGGCCAATGCTTTTGAGTTCGATGGCCATCTCTCTAGGTGTACGACCGCCTGAGTCCTTCGCGGAAACATCTGCGCTACTCTCCAGTAGCTTCTTGATGACAGCCTTGTTGCCCCTAACGACTGCCCAGTGTAACGGAGTGAGACCACTCTCGTCCTTGGTCTTGACGTCGGCACCGTGCTTTAGCAGGACGTCTACCGAGACGGCATCGCCCTGGTAAGCAGCCCACATCAAAGAAGTGTGACCTTGCGAATCTGGAGAGTCAACCTCTACTTTTCGCTGCTGCAAGAGATAAAGCAGAGGCATTACCGCAGAGGAATGGGTGATTAAATGGAGAGAATTGTATCCCTGGCCATCTGAGAGGGTCGGATCTGCTCCCCATTCGAGAAGCAGTTTGACGACATACAAATACCCATTTCTAGCCGCCCATTGCATCGGAGTTGCATCCAAATCTCCGCCTCTGGCATCTACTTCGGCGCCTCTCTCCAAAAGTTCTCTGCAGATATGAAGATGAGCGTTTATAGAGGCCCAATGAAGCGCAGTAATATTTTGCGAATCCCGGTCGGTCGCTTTAGCTCCTTGTGCAAGTAGCGACTGTAATAGTTCCAAATCTCCACGCTGAGCAGCAAGAAATATCGTGTCCGGTTCTTCTTCGACCACAGTTTGCGTATCGCTGAGTGATGCCACCGGGGCCGTTTTTCCGCTGGGTGTACCTGGCGTTGAGGGCATCGTAGTAGGTCGTAAAGCACAGTTTCTGCACTGCCTGCCATTGCCAAAACGATGATGACAGAACGGCGCTTAGCGGTATACAAGCGCCCGGCACGCACGACGCGTCTCTCCATTGATCAATTTATTGTTCCCATCCGGCTTCATACTTCTCCGCTGTCGACGCTACGATATCCCTAACAGCTTACCACTAAATGAGATTGTCAACAGGATATTCGAGGGAAAGCAGGAATTCATTCTCGTTTTGCCCAATCATACTTGGCTTTGGAAGGCAACCATATTGTTCTGCGGAAGGCGGCTCAAATGCTCTTCTGGATGAATTGCAGCCACTCCAACCGATCAGGTTTTCAGATAATGTGCCGTCTTCCAGTACTGACGCACCTGCCCACTCGTCTAGTCGACTTACCAACACGAACACTCGCGCTACGACGAGGAAGAAAAGGCCAGCGGTGGCATCTCCTGCTTCTTCGGCACCATCGGAATCGAGGAGTAACACTGCTCACACCCAAGCTCCTCCTTCTGCACCTTCTTCTGGCGCACAGGTACTCGAGCAGAGTAAGGGTAAAGAACGCTCGTCCCACACCTTCAGATCATACTCCTGGTCCTGTATCTGAATCAACCTTGCGTTCGAAACGACGAAAGCCTTCCGTCTCCACTAAAGCAAGGACGCCATCGGCGGGTCCATTCATTGCTTTAACCGCCGACTAGTACTGGCGTTGCTCCCTTCACGTCGAATAGTACTGCTGCTGCTGCTCCCTCCACATCAACTCGGATATTAAACACCCAAGAGCGCCCTAGCGATACCCAACCTCCCTCGGGCGTCCCTCCAGCTGTAACGGGGACGAGAGTACCAGCACCTCATCGCTGTCTCCCTTCATCCACCGTACCAGCAGCTTCACCTAATCCTCCTCAGCCTGGGCGCTCACAACCATATTCTCCTTCCAGCTCCCGCCAATCCACAGCGGTAGCAGGAGGAGGAGGATCAGGACCCAGTCAAGCAATTCCGAGTCGGTCTCTTCCCTCCAGCTCCGTCCAACCCACAACAACAGGCGTAGAACCAAGTCAGGCCGGTGCATTGAATCGTCCTCTATTAGCCATAGAACCCCGACATCCTACTCCGCTAGCTCGCAGCTACGAGTGTCTCTTTGTAAATCCCGATGGTACTTTCGAGGCGCGGGCCTGAATACAGCTGAATACATAGAAGCCATGGCGCGAACGGACCGCACAATCCAGAGGGCATTGCAAGCTTCTTATCCATATGTTTATGGTTCTATACTGGATCGTTGTGAGTTGAGGTATCCTGTTCTGATCCATGAGGGGTCGGAGAAAGGATTGTATAAAGTCTTTCCTCTAAAGTAATTTATTAAGTACAGATAGATACGTTTTACAGTAAGTATCGATGTACTGAAGAAGCTGTACATAGCACAAATCTCTACAAGACCTAGCCAGAAATTTGTGTGACGAAATACTTATTCTTCTCTCCGAGTTCTTTCAGAAGAACAGATTCTCTGTTATAATCATCGCAATAAGGGAGCGTCGATTCGTTTTTGGAGATGATTAGATTCTTGACAACGTTGATTATCAACACGGACGAGTCGAGAGCGGTATGAGGATGGGGCAGGTGGTTGTGGAGAAGAAGTACATGCAAGGATCAATGTGCAGTGTATGTAAGTAGGTATGGTTTCGGAACTGGTGTATATAGTTGTATGGATGAGTAACAGTGTTCTGTTATACTGAATAGTTTAGAATGCTTACCTTCATATCTCTTGAGAATCACCATAGTACTCTCGCTTTGCTTGACCTTTCTTTGGGAGAAGCTGGGGATGAACGTATGGCAAGACACCACCTTCAATTATCGTAACATGTTTGAGCATTTGACAGAACCTGCACTCTTCCGGTCAGTAATCAGTTTTGAGATGACATGATACTCGTACTCGTCATCATTCTTAATTGCAAGTTGTATGAAGCGGGGAGTGAGGATTCTTTTTCTGTTGTCGCGACAGGCATTCCCGGCCAATTCCAAAATTTCTGCCAACAGATATTCCAACACGGAGGCGAGGTAGACTGTGAATAGGTATGGGAGTGAGCTACGCCTCTCAACAAGCTTGCTAAGCAGTCGAGTTGTCGCTTACCCGATGAGGTGGTGGTCAGTCTCTTCTCGCGCGAATGACTCTTCAGCATCCTACGAGTACGCGCAACGGAAAAAACTAGTCCAGCTCGAGCGGTCTGACTAATTTTTTTCTTCTTGGTGTTTCCCAGAGCTTCGTTGATTTTTGCAATGCTAAAGACAGAAGATTGCGTCAACTCAAGTTGAAGTCGAAAATACAGAGTAAGTACTTTTTCCCTGATTTACCGGACTTGAAATTGGTTAGTTAGAGGAATTTAAGTAGAGACCAAATAGATCTCGTACCATTTTTACCGTTTGTGACTTATCAGTGGCGGTTGTTTGTTGAAATCGTCGAGCTTGAAC